TTTTAACATAATAATTTTCCTTTAATATATTTAATAATTATTTGGCTAAAAACAAATTTAATCTTAGATTTCCTCACAACTCTCATAACCTATTTTGGTTTTTCTTCCATCTGTCTTTCCTTTTCCTTTTTCCTTTTTTTTTTTTTTTTTTTTTTTTTTGTTCTTCTTGATTGATTTAATCTATTGAATGCTCTCTTTATCCATTGAAATTGTAATTCAAGGCATAAGCGTGAAGGCATACCTCATCAAAGGAGAGAAGCATCGATTACTCCTACAGGTGATCGTAGACAAGATCGAACACTTATATCGGTCATGTAAAACGATGGTCCAACACTGTTTTCAGATGATTCAAGAGAAGAAGCAAGAGAAGAAGCAAGAGAGGATTTTTCAAAGGAAGAATCAAGAGAGGATTCAAAGGATGAATCAAGAGAGGATTCAAAGGATGAATCAAGAGAGGAAATCATGTAACAATTCATGCGGTATATATTATTTTAGTATTCGCAATTTTCTCTAATGACTTTGTAGAATTTGTTGAGTAGATGCCTGGCACAAAAGTTGCTCTTTGGATTTCATGCTTCTCTTTATAATTTGGTAAAAGTCATTCTTTGTTCATATGCTATAAGTTAACAGGCAATTGGAAATTAGGGATAGATAATTATTCATACAAAGTTGGGATTCGAATCTTGCCAAGGTTTATAATGCAGACTGCTAGTGCGATTAGTACCACAGTGCTTATTGCATCTATATATGAAACTTATTACTAACTTATTCATTCTGAATTTTTACTCATTCACTACAAGGTACTATATGTAAAATGGTTATAATCTATATACGAGTTTTTTTTCTTTTCCTTTTCCCCTCTTTTTTGTACTATATCTTGATTCTTATATTTAGAAATAATATAGCAAATATATGTTCTTTATTTAATCAACATAGAAAATTTATTTGAATTCTTATTTTTAATCAACGTATATTTGTAGAATGAGTTATATGCCTTCTTTTTATGTTATATTTATTTGAGTTTCACAATGATTAATTCTTGCTTTTGTGTTTATAATTTGGATTAAATTCTTTTTTATTTCCCATATGTATATATATGCTAAGTTAAAGGCAATCTTTTTGGCTAAATTAAGATTATGAAAAAGTAATTAATTATTGTAGTTACGAATCTTCATTCTTTCTGATTAATGAATATAATTCATTCATTGCAGTGTCTCTGTTAAACAAAGTGATAGTCATCATTATTAGTAAGCAGTAACATCCACTCAATTACCCCTTTTTTTTTTTTTTTTTCATTTATGTTAATTATATTTATAAAAGTCATTCCTTCAGAATTCTAAATATTGCTCATTTATTGCAGCGATATCATGTTTACCACTGTTTCTGTCATGTAAGTAAAAATGTCCACTCAATGAGACTTTTATTCCCTTAAATTTGTTTCTGTGTTATGTCTGTCAGCAAAGCACATAGATGGATGTGTATGTTATTCTTTTTGTGTTTATAGTTTGGATTAAGGTCATTTTTTAATTTTGTATTATGAGTTTAAGATAATATTTTTCACTAAAAATCATAGAAAAAAAATCAATCATTGTAATTATGAAACTCTCATTTTTTCTAATCTTGAATATAACTCATTCACTATAGGTTTGGCCATCGTGTTGGCAGTCGGAATCACGATTGTGATCCTATATTGCCTTGGTAAACTGATCCTCGGTAAGCAATAAGCAACAACATTCATTCAATAAGCATACACATTTTAGCTAACGGTTATAAAGGCAATAAATTGCAATTATGAAACTCATTTTTCTGATCCTAAATATATATAACTCATTCATTGTATAGCGGCGCTACGCAGCCTGGTTTCAATGCTCTCAAGGTGCTGTGGTAAGAAATACTACGTCTACTAATCAATAAGCCCTTTTCTTTTCTTCATTTTTGTTCTATATCTTGATTTTTCTTTATACTAAAGGTTTTTTTTTTTCTTTTGTTATTAGAAACACATTTATATCAGCTAAAGTTGATGGATGAGTATGCCCGTAAGGTTATACATTTGATATGTGATGAGTCATTTTCAAAATTAGATGAGATCCAGTTTGTGCAAAGTAAAGCAGTGGAAGCAACCTTCCAGGCTATCAAGAATGGCATCCCAGACATTGTGAAAGAAATTATAAAAGCTAATGCAAATAATGAATTATGGTGCAGCAAATTAGATCCTGAAGATCCATCAAGAAACATATTTGCTTGTGCTATAGCACATCGTCAAGAGGAAGTGGCACACCTTCTTTATGAATCTCAAAAGGAGAAAAACGTGCTTTTTTCCATCGATGAAAATGGAAATAATACATTACATCTCGCAGCAAAGTTAGCCCCTAACTATCAAACAGGTTACATCTATGCTGCAGCTTTACAATTGCAAAGTGAACTACGTTGGTTCAAGGTAAATACCTTTTATTTTTATTTTCTTAATTAAGTAATGAGAAAACTTATATTATTCCTTATTCATATACTACTCTTTTCTAGTATATATTATTTTTTATACTATGAATTATAAATTAAATTATTTTCATGAAATTTCAATCTCAATCTCATCCTAAAGATATATCTTATTTGTCCAGACTCTCTTGTATCTTGTCAATGAAGATATGTTTATTTCAAATAAGATAACTAATCTTATCAAAAAAAAAAATTTTATTTGATGAAAAAATATTCGCATTTTAATCTTTTATTTATCTAACTCCAAAAATTTTATATATATATATATATAATGATAGACTATATATTATTTATTA